TTCTTTTCTTTTCTTTTCTTTATAGTAGATTTTACCTTTTTTTTAACATTACAATATTTCATGTGATTATTTATGAAACTTGTTTCAGTTGAATTTTCATTTGGTAGTCCTATCCCTTAAGACTACTTTGTAGTCTTTAAATATACACCAATGAAAATGGAATATTGAGTATCTAAAAATATTTAATATACTTCCAATCCTTTAATTTAAATTTATACAGGTTATATATATATATATATATATATATATATATATATATATATATATATATATATATATATATATATATATATATATATATAATTTGACTTTGAGCTTATTTTCAAACATACAATGCAAAACAAAATATAAACAGTAATGACGGAAAAAGTATTCAAAGACTATTTATAAAAATGTTACTTAAAAAGGAATGCATATCAAAGTTTTCTGTATCAGTAGAGTAACTTTTGGAATCTTTTACTAATACTTCAGCAGGATATGATGATGCCATCACAGTTTGTCATTCATTACTTCATCTTTTTTCAGTGAGGCTATCATAATTAAAGCAAAGGAGCTTTCAACCAAACTAAAGGAGGTTAACCATAGTCAGAATCATAAAATCAATGTGAACTCCATGATCCTTTCCTTCGCTGCATACTGTATATACTCGCAGAGAGGTTGCACTTTTTTCTTTTTTTTTTTTTTCTTTTTTTTTACCCAAAATTTTGCAAAATATCCACTCGACATAAATATAAAACAACACTTACCTCGTTATCATGATTTCTGAGAAATTGGAAATGATACCTATAAAACACCAAAGCTGTGGTTTTTCTCCGTATAGAAAAAATTTATATATACTGACTCGCTGCTTTAAACTTAACTCATGCTGCTAGATTCATATATCCATCCCCATAAATAAATAAAATTATAAAATATTCATTGATCCATCAGTCACCATTCTGTTGGGGCCCTCACACTAAACTGATAGAGAAACCCTGAACATGCATAAGTTAAGGAACCACGTGTTTATTGACAAAGAAAAAATAGTCCCACCATTCATTCTGCAAAATATATATTTGTAAAATATGACTTAAAGAAATTAAACATATTCTTTGAGATAATTTTCTTTAATGGTTGTTTCATATGACATTAAAAGGCAATTTTAAGTGTTATTTACAAATAATAAAATGCATGAGTCAAGTACCCAAAACATTTGCACTATTTTGCATTGTGAAGCAATAGAATTGGTAACCAAATTTATAGTTTTAATTGTTGCAAACCCTAATCATGAGTAAAAGAAAGAGTTATGAAGCAGGTTTTAAATTAAAAGTACTAGATTATGCAGAAGAACATGGAAATTGATCTGTGTGTTTTAATAATTATAAGTTTTGAAATAAAGGTAAATATCTGATATTTCTTATGGTTAAAAAGGGCTGTGTAACTCCCTGGATTATATAGTGTGACCTATCCGGTATGGCAACCTATCCATGAGTATATATGGTAGTATGTGCATTGGCTTTGAATTCAGAGTTCTCATTCTTTTACACTGCCAACCAAAGCTACAGAAATCAGACTTCCCTACTATTTAACCCATAGCTAGGGGAAATGTAGTGATGCATTTATACCTTTCCCAAGAGTATTTGTACATAAGTGAAAGTAATGAGCTCTACTGAAATTCAGACTTGTCTCTCTCTCTCTCTCTCTCTCTGTTGTCTCATCCCAAGCTGCTATCCATTACTCCACCTGTACATCCAATCAAACGAAAGAAGGATGTCATTAAGCAGTATAATGAAAGGGTCAGTGCCAAAATATCACTACCACTGCATCAACTATTTTAAAGTGGAAGAAGTTTGGCATGACTGAAAGCTTTTCTCAATCTGGTGCCCCATGGAAGATTTCAGAGAAACTCAAAAATGCAAAAAGAAATCCAAGATAATTTGAGCTGTTCATACATTGCTTAATAAAAGAACTATTAGTAAAGAACTGCAAAGGAATGGTTTAAGACCTTATTCCTCAAGTAAAACAGTATTAAGATTCTCAGATGAAGTTCCCTCATGAACGTTTAAAAAAAAAAAAATTAATAATTTTGGAAGAATATTCTTTGGTTTGATGAAACAAGAATTAAACTTTGAATACAACCCAGCTCATCATGTATGGTGGGGGGTGGCGGGGAAATGAAAGTACCTATTAAGAAAATAAATGTCCATCATCTCTACTGTAAACACAGAGGTTTGAGATGTCTTTCTCAATTGTGGGGGGGGGGTCACTTCACATGATGACAGGAACTATGACTAGAGCAAATATATCAGAGTATTTTCAAAGCTAATTTGTTCTCTCTGTTGTAACAGTTGGAGTTAATTAGTTCATCTGCTGACTTGAATCCAGCTGAAAATTATGGTGAAGCTTGAAAGATCAAATTCATGTGACTTATTGCTAAAATATCATGATTAGTTTATTTACAAAAGAAGAGATGAACAAGATGTCAAAAGAATGCTGTGAGGAGTCATGAAAAAAAAACAAGCAAAAAAAAAAAACACCTCCAAACAAGTAATTGCAAACCATGGTTTTGTGATTGACTATTAAGAATTGAAATCAATGTGTCAAAATCACTATTTTTACCATTAACCTTGTTTATATTTTATTCTGAATTGTGTGTATGAAGTTTTTGTTTTTTTTGTGTTTCATGTTAAAATACATCACCTGTGTAAATTTAAAGTAAGGATTTGGAAGTATATTAGATATTTTGTAAATGTTCAGATACTTCTTTCCTCTCCCCCTACAGTGTTTAGTTTTTAGATTTTGTTTTTTGTTTCTTATTAGAAACTGTCTGTTAATCTAGCCAAGTCAGGTTAGCTGTTGTCATCATTTTTATTTTTTTTAAATTCAATTAATTTTATTTAATTGCCAATATTACCATTTATAAAAATACCCTAAAAAATTACTTAGATTTATAGAATAATCTATAAGCAACTGATCTTCAAAAAGGTTTGGCATTGCTTAACTATAGTGATTGTAAAGAAACCAGTGTTTCAGCATGATGAATTAATGAGTTAAGTATACCATTTATTTTATCATTTCAGTTCAGGCCTTTATCTTGACTATTTTAAATTTATTTACTGATTTCATGATATGTACAAGTATGCATTAATAAGTCTGTAGCCAAATAGGTAGTAATTAGCTGAAATTTTCACTTTTGATATTTGTGGTTAATATTCACTACTGAATTAAGTGCATTTACAAAGGGGATTATAATGAAAGATATGTTATGTTCTCATCTTTATTGTTACTATTACAGTGTTTCAGCCATGTTCTTCAGGTGCCTGTCTGGATAGCCTTCTGGTAATTTCAATCTATTTCGTATATTTAAACTATGAGGTAGATTGTTCTTGTTCTGCTATGTCTTATTTTAGTATTGCTCAATCATTTCTAATCCTGTTTCCACTGAGTCTGAGTTTGTACTATCCAGCCCAGGGCTTGAACTCTCGGTTACCATGCCAACAAATTCATGAAGCAACGCTTTGATCCTTGAGGCGAATGAAAGCAATTTATTCTTATAGATTAAATAATAGGTCCATTTCAAAATTACCTGGATCAACAAATACCTGAAGAAGGCCAGACGTAACAGCCAATGCTTTTTAAGAACAAAGATAAGGAAATTTAGTAAGTATGAATGTTAACACTCTTTATACTTCCTTGTGGAGGATATGACCACAGACTTACCATGATAGGTTTTACTGTTGTGGTTTCCATAGCAAGTAGTAGATTTTTATGAGGTGGAGTTGCTAACTACATACCCAATCACTTTTGAATTCAGTTGTCCTTCTCCTAGACTGGTTTCCAGCCATGGCTAGAGAGTTTAGCCTACCTTGCTATTAACTCCTAGATGGGGAGAGAAGAGGTGGATTTCTTCCAACAGTATTTTTGCAACAGTGAGCCCAATGGTTTCTGCAAGAATTTTAACTCTTATAGGCCAATCCTATTTTCCACATCAATAACTAGTCTGCTGTGTGCACATCCATCTTGTAATTTCAGACACTTCATCAATAGCTGCTTTCAATTGGTATAATTAAGAACAAGAATTGTTTGTTCCCCAGAAGAGGCTTCTAGTAGAGGACACCTTTCCAATCCTGCCTTTTACACAATGTCATCTTATTTGCATGAACGCTGGCCTTTTGTACAATTCTTGGATACCCCACTTTAAACTTGGCCTTGTGCCACATCTTGCTGCGTGGGGCAGCGGGTAAATAATTATAATTAGAGAATTACACAGGAAATGCAGTTTTTTTTTTTTTTTTTTTTTTTTTTTTGTTTTGTGTGTGTCTGCATAAGCCACATATCAAAACAATTAACATTAACCGAACTGGTGTAAATGATTTTCCATATTTGATTTGACTATTTTGTTTATATTTTCTCTCTGTCACTGTTCATTATTCACACGTAACATCTTGATTTGATTGCTGTCAACCTCACCCTGGTCTACTTGACAATGAAATACCATTCAGCAAGAAACTTACCTAAACACTTTTGATACATTCAATCATTCACAAGAAATAGTATCTCTATAAATTTGTAAAAATCTCTTTTCCTTCTTGTTACATTTTTCTTTCTAAAAATGAAAAGAGTGTAGTAAGTCAGAAAAAAAAAATAAAATTACAAATGACAAATACAATAATTTTGGTAATTAAGTACTTTATAAAACTGCACAAATCTTCTTTTTTTTTTTTCTCAGTTGTTACATTTTTAATGTATAAAGAAAGAGAGAAAAAAAACGCCCACTGATATAACAGCTGTTGCATTGCAATTATCAAGTGATCTATTTCTTTTTTTTTTCTTTTTTTTTTTTTTTTTTTTTTTTTTTTTTTTTAAATGAATTAGCTAAAATTAAAGGTATCTAATACTATCTAGCAATGGAATCAAATTTTTTGAGGAACCCAATAAAAAAAAATTATATTTGCTAGTTTTTGTCTGATTGTATTTTATATCTAATCTGTTTTTGTTTTTTTTTTCTGTTTCTATTTCAGTGAAAGCCACATTACCATTATTTACAGTTGTGTTATCCAGAATTTTACTGGGTGTAAAACAGACGCTGAGAGTAAGTATATTATGGTTTCTTTTGAATGTGCAGGTAGTATAATGGATAGCAGCTAAGAATGAGAAATTGGAGAGCAAATTCCAGTTGTGATTGGCAACCAAAAAGGACAACTCTGAATTAAAAACTGTAATAACTAAATCATGGGTTGCCTTTTAGCAAGACACTAGCTAGCAGGGTTATAGTGAAGACATCAGCAGTTGGATGTGGTCAATGGCAGAATCATACCAACCAGACTTATGGCACTGAACTAAAATGTTGTCATGCAACAAGATCCTTCATACTGGACAATAAATGAGATCTACTAAACTGGAAACTGCAGGAACACGTAGAATGGTGCTTTGTGTCTCTGAATAAGTTTTCAACCGAAACCCCTATAATGACGCATAAAGAGCACCAGGAAAAAGTATGTGTATGCTATGGGACAACCTAGTTAGTTAGTTGAGTGAGTTATTCTTTTGATGGTTTTTTTATATGGATAACTTTTCCTGAATCTATTTTAAGTTTACTTGAGTATTTGCAGAAATAAAATTTGCCGTTAATTTGCTGAAAATGTCAAGTGTTTTAATTAGAAATTGTTGACATTGATAATATCATTTATACTAATCATGGTATAATTTTCTTTCTAGAAAAACAATCTTGTTGATTGTATGCAAAAAAAAAAAAAAAAAACAGATTAGAGAATTTTTTTCTCATCTGTTTTTGTTTTAGTTTTCCAGAATCTATCTTAGATTATAAGTCTACCATTTGTCGATGTTTTGAATATTGCTGCCATGTCTTGTCTGTTGCTTCTGCTATATATTTAAAGATTCTTGAAAAATACAGAGAATCTGCAATGTTATTGGTCCTGACCTGGCATCTCGGCTTCATTCACATTTCTACTGCCATAACGTAGCTTCCCTGTGCCTTTTCTAAAAATATCTTCATGGTAATTGTTCTGATGAGCTTACCTCTTTAGTACCTATATTTTATGAATTTAGATTGACAGCAAGGACTCCTCATTTTACAGCTGAAATATCTAGATGTAACCGTAATTTCTATGCTAAGTTCTTTCTCTTCCAGCTTACTTTCCAGTCAACTTTGACTTTCAAAAATAAAAATGCAATGTCAATCGTTATCTTCTGTCTTAATTCCAGTTCTTTTATTGTATTGATGTCTCTCTTTAATAATGCCTTCTTTCCTCATATCCGCTTTATTGCCTTGCTTGAGGTGAAATGGTTAAAATAGATGAAATTCCATGTCAAGTTGGGTATTGTTTATGTGTCCTTTCAATTATATTTTTACTGCTATTTCCCTGGAAAATGTTCAGAAGATCTTTATTCTTTAGTTCCACCAATTGAAACCTTTATGACTAGGATATGCCATGCCACCTCCATCGAACCGAATCACCCTCACTTCTTCTGCGTTCTGTTCAGCTTTTTTTTTTTTTTTTCATCAAAGGTCGGTCAGTCATTCTCTTTCCTCCTTACCCTCATAATTTTGCCTTCTACTACCTCCTCCTTTCATTCATATCGCACACCTCGTTTACCACTGCCATCTTAACAGTAACCCTCTATTTTGAGTGGTTCCCAAGTCTTGTACTTGAAAAATTTTAGTATAGAAATATTAAGTAAATTAATATATGATTATTGCTGAAAGACTGACCCACATCAAAATGCATTAGAAAGTGATTTGATAACAATTTTGTTGAATATGTCTTCCCATTAATACTAAATTAATTTTGATTTATTTCTTGAAACCTTGTTATTCTTATTTTCAGGACTGATAAAGCATTTGAAAATGACTTAAATTTTAAATTTTATCCATTGTTCTAAACATACTGAACAGAACTGAGATAAAAATCTATTTAAATTAGCTGAAGTAGCTATCTATAATAGGCCAAGATTTTGTTCAAAGCTATTGATAATAAAAATTAAATAATTGCTTCATGCTATGATGGTGAGCTGTTGACAAGTTATGTTAGTTGCTCTCTCATACATACATACATACATACATACATACATACATATATATATGTATGTGTATATATATATATATATATATATATGTATGTATGTATGTATATATGTGTGTGATGGTTAAATTGTCACCATTTTATATTTTTTAATTTTGTGCATATGCATTGTTTGTTTATAATTTTCTCAACTGCACAGTATAGTAAGGTCAGTTGGTCACTGTCTGAGAAAGAGTACCATGATGCAATTAACTCTGCCAGAAATTTGGAAACTGCATGTTGTACTGCTTGGTATTCACACTGGAAGCTCCAATGCAAACATTTCAGAGTTTTTGGGTGTCAATTTGAGGACAGTGCAGAGGATTCAGAAAGAGTTGGATGATATATCCAGTCAACATTATGGTGTTTGGAGTGATCACTAGTGATGTCGACATTATACCTCCACTCAACTTCCCACAGAGCCTCAGACCCAACATGGAGGCCTACATCAAGTGCCTTGAGGTGGTAGTGCTGCCCTGAGTCAAGAGGGTCACTGCCGGAAGACCCTGTATCTGGCAACAGGGCCCTGCACCATGCTACACAATCAAGAGAATCTGCTGTTGGACAATTTCTGCAACCACATCACCCCTTACATCTGACCACTTAACTCCCCAGAAGTCAACCCCCTTGTTTACTATGTGTGGGACACAGTTTAGCAAGAGACCAACAAAACTCCTTATCACACCAAAGATGAACTGAAGGCAAGGATTATGGCAGCATTCACCATCTTAAAGAATGAGTCCATCCAGAAGAGTTGCAGGAGACACCAAAGCAATTTTTTTTTTTCTTTAATTGAATCAAGGGTCAACCATGGTATTTCATGATATTTTTGTGTAATTTTGGTAAATGTATCTGTTAAAATGAGATGTCAGTATTATTTTCATTTTTATGTAATTTAGGTGGTAATTTATCCATCATACCCTGTGTGTTTTATATATATATATATATATATATATATATATATATATATATATAATATGGTCCATGTGTGCTTCTTATAATATGTAGATTTAATATGCCATTTAATGAAATAAAAAGAAAACAAAATGATAATATTGGCAATAAGAATATTTATTATACATTAGTCTTTTGACTATATTGAAGCACACGGAGGAAGATTTTTAAAGATTTAAGGGTTACTCAGAATATAGTTTCCACAGGGGGCTCTCTAAACAACATTATTCCAGAGAAGAGTGAATCCCACTTGTTTGTTTATTTCTCATCTTTTTGAAAAGGACACAGGATTGTCCAAAAATTTTGACTTTAAAATCCTTCTCTTTCTGCTTCAATTCTATATAATGTCAGTGTCACACTTTTCAACTTTACTCCTAGAGGCCATAGCCCAACATATCATACCATTTTGGAATCGGGCAGACTCTGTGAAATTAAAAACTCTGCAAATTAAAAACATTCTGGGCCAGATCCAAACCTGCAATCCTGAAATTTTGGAGTCCCAAGTTTTCACTACTGCGATTGTTTTCAGATTCCACCATCTTGGCTTCTGATAAAAACAATAAAAGGGACACAATTGTGTAACTTTCAATAGCTCCTGTTCAAATGAAAAAATTACTGTTCTCAAGTTAGTGTTTCAAAATAAAATTGTCCATGTTTTCAATTTTACTTCTAGATGCTATAGTCCAACATTATAGCATTTTGGAGTCAGTTTTGAGCACATTAAAAATATTTTGGGCCAGATCTGGACCCACAATTCTGAAATTTTGTATTCAACTTTTTCTGTGACTGTTTTTGGCTATTTTTCCGTGTTTTGTTGTTTTTTTTTTTTTTTTTTTTTTTTTTTAAGACAAATTTCTTCTAATTTCGGAAATAAATCAGCAAAAGTCACCCATGAAATAAAAATAATTGTTTGTACAAAAAGCAAGGATCAACAGACATCAAATTGTCTTTAAATTAAGTGGCGGCAGAAGAATTCATTAAACTATTAAAAAAATAAGCTTAAATATTAATGCAATTCTTAAATGCAGCAATCAGTTTTGAGTTCTTCTGTAGTTTACTGTTGCCTATCACATTTACTCCTCCCTACCTATTATGATGATGGTCGAATCAAGACCCCTCCGCAAGAGCTAGCTTAGAATGCCATTAGGGCAGCTTTTAAGCTAGTATATAATAATCATCAATCTTATTGCCAATATTATCATTTTGTTGTCTTTTTATTCCTCAAATTACATTAACTGACCTCTTAAATCTAGACACACACACACACACACAATTTTATATATGAACAAATAGTATTTAGAAAAATATGACAAACTGGAAATTTTTTTTTCGGTAACACCCAGTCCAATAAAATCTTAATGGATGAAATCCATCACAAAAGCACCTTTTCCAGTTTGTCCTATATTTTTATAAAGGATAAATACATTTGTTAACTTTTTATTCTTTTTGCAAAATAAAATCTTTATTTTTAGCCTCCATCAGCATGGCTGATGCTAACCTCCCGTAGTGCAACTCATTACGCCGCCTTCATGTCATGTTTTCTACTAAGGTGAAGTGATTATATTGAATCAAGTACTAGATTGGCCACTTGGAAAGTTGATTCACTCTGTCTAGCCAGACAAGTTTTCTTGTTGGACTCCATCTTGCACATTTATAAATCTACCATTTGTCTGTGCATTGAATATTTCTGCAATATCCTGCCTGGTGCACCTTCTATACATCTCAAGATTCTTGACAAAATCTAAAGAAGGGTCTGCATTATTATTGGTCCAGACATCTTGATTTTAGTCACTTTCCCAACACCATGACATGACTTTCCTCTGTCCTTTCTATAAATATTTTCATGGCAGTTGTTCTAATACGCTCTTCTCCTTGGTACCTAGACTGCATATGGATTTCAGATTTGCATGATTCTACTAGATTGGCAACTAGATTGGCATTGTTTTACTGTTGAACTACCAAGATGTAACAATAAGTTCTATTCTAATAGTTTCTTTTCTTGCATTTCTCACCTGTAGAATTCTATTCCGGTGTCTTGCTTCCCTGTCACCTACAA